ATTAGAAGTAGAGAGACAAGGGGGCAAAAAGGGGAGGGAGAAAAAGTGGGGGAATAAGGAAAGGAAAAGAAGTTATAAAAGACAGAAACAAGATATAGAGAAACAGGGAAAATGTATAAGGATTGAAAGTATAAGCCTATTTAGAGATAATGGGTGAAAATTTAATTGAAAAAGGGATTCTGCAAAGGTACATAAGGTATTGTTATATTAGAAATAGAAATAATTTTAGAAAATATGAAACAATGTATGACTAAAATGATGGATAAAATACTTATTGTAATGCAGTGGAATGTTTGTTAATAAATAAATGAAATAGAGAATGAGAGAATGAAATTAGGAAAGGATGGGAACATTTTAATTATAATTAATGATTTATAAAAATATAAGTGAAGAGAAATATGGGGGGGGGGAAGAATTAATTATGGAAAGTTTATAAGTGTTCCCAAGGAAATATGATATTCAGTTGAAAAGAAATGTTAAAGACGTTAAGATTCTAACTAATATTAATGATAGAATTGAATTGGAATAGAACGAGTGTTTTGTTTACTATTGTTATACATATATATATCTTTTAAGAATATAGTGTGTATTTTAAGAATATACCAAGCAGAATTTGATTGGAAGTTATGTACTATATTGAATGTTATAATTTTAAAGGCATAAATTGAAGTTTAAATAAGAGTTGAATGGATAAAATTAAAAGATATAAAGGTGTCATATTCCAATTAGTAACTACAGGGGAAAATTTGTTTAATGAGAAAAGATAATATGAAATTGAAAGGACAGACAAAAGTATAAATATAATGATTAGAAAGATATTGAAACTTAGAAAAAGATATATAATTGAATTTAGATATGAGATAATTAAAAATAAAGTTGAGAAAACCAAGGGAGGGGAAAAATTATTGAGAAAATGTTAAAATAGTAATAAGATATGGAATAGAACACAAAGATGAATATGAAATTGAGTTTGTGTCTGTATGGAGAAGTGATAACCTGGGATCATGCTATTCTCAAAAAAAGATGTTTTATTTGTATTATGTTATTGTGAAAACCCAAATAAAATTTATATTTTTTAAAAAAAAAGAGTTAAAGATGGAACAACTCCAAACTAGGGGTGAGGATGTTAAAACCCGCAGCCACTCAGTCTTCACAAGATTCATCCAAAGACTGTTCTCTCCTGTCCAAACCCACAGAGCCCCCAGACATTATTTTATTTGTTTGTTTGTTTGTATGTTTGTTTATCAAACCTGTACAAGATAACAAGTATATGTATGAACATAAACATGAACAAAGGAAGTAAATACACATAAATGGGGACAGTAAGACACGGACAGTAGGCATGCTGGCGCTCTTATGCAGGCCCTCTTTAAGGACTTCTTAAGAATGGGGTAGGGTCCATGGTAGACAGTTTGGGAATGAAGCTGTGAGGGGTTGAGGCTGTAACAACGGAGTCGAGTAGGGTGTTCCAGGTGTTGACCACTCTGTTGTTGAAATCCTATTTTCTGCATTAGGAAAGAACCTGGGTGGCATCACGTGCTTAGCCCATGACAATGATGTATAGGTGGGTGTCATTGTTATACTGATCATTTCTGGCCCACGTTGATGGATGACCTCACCTACAGTTCCATGTAGATGTTAAATAAGAACACAGAGACAGAGGAGCCTTGAGGCACCCAGAGGCCTCCAGACTTGATCATTCCCCTCTGCCAACACGGACTGGAACCAGCCCCAAAGAAAGGAGGAAAACCATCACTGTATTATGACATCTACTCCCAATTCCTGAGTCAGCCCAGAAGGACACCATGATCCATAAAAAGTCACTGAGAAATCAAGGAGGACCAGGATGGATGCAGTAATCGTCAATAAGCAGTATCAATGTTGTTTCAGTAATGTGACCAGGTTTGAATCTTTACATAGAGGGATACAGGTAGTCTATTTCATCCAGAACCCTTTAGATTTGTAAGCTGTCCACCTTCTTAACAGCTTTCCCTAAAAAGGAAAGATTGGAGATTGGACGAGAATTGTTCAGATTCATTTGGGTCTAGGGAGAGCCTTTTGAAGAGAAAGTGTTGTTTAGTATTTGGTTGGAAGACCCTAAAAACGCTCTAAAACTATAGGTAGATTGAGAAGTGGGGAAAAAATCCCAAAAGTAGAAACAAATCCCAGAAGCCTCAAACCAAGAATGACAAGCGGTAATTCTTCCTTGCTGAGTTCTTTATTGTTTCACATCTATGGACAAAGTTTTGCCAGATTGAATACTTTACTCTCTGCATCTACAAATACTCTGTAAACTCTTAGGGAGGAGTTGTCTTCACCTTCTTTCTCTCACACATGATGTCTGGGCTAAGCTGCCTCTTATCCTCTGGAATGCAGCCCCTTCCCTCCTGGGGATCCACTTTCTATTCCATTTCATCATAAAAAGGGGACAATAAAGGCAAAAGGTTGTTAAAACAAAACAATACATAATAACCCTTTTGTATAGCATTGTTGTAAGGAAACAATATCGATATGTCTACAAAATCAGCAGAAATAATATTTAATACCATATATTCTGAGAACTATTAGGAAGGAGCTGTCTTCACCCTCTTTCTAACACAAACCATCTGGGATGAGTTGCCTCTTATTCCTCTGGAATGAACTCCTGGGAGTCCATCCTACTCCTGGACTCCTGGGAGTCCATCCTATCACAGGATGATTCTGACGTCCTTATCTGCCTTTCAGGTGTACTTCTAACAGTTCCTCTGCAGACTGCTGAGAAATTAACATTTTTGCCTCTAGCTTAAAAACAGGAATTATGACTTCTTGGGCTAACATCTTGCCTTTCCATGGCAGGCAGTATCTGCTGAAATTTGTTTTCATACTTGCCAGCAAACGAGTTTCATATTCATGGTGAAATAAGAAGAAAGCAATCTTGGATGGTAAATTAAATACCTATCTCTAGGGCAGGGCTGTCCAACCTTGGCCCCTTGAAGCCTGGCGGACTTCAACTCCCAGAATTCCT